GGGGAGGGGGAAGGGATCGAAATTTTACTTAGGAGTTTGATCGTCGATTTTTTCCTTGAATTTTTTTGGCGCTTCAACCGTTCAAATAAATTGATCGGAAAGACGACTCTTTGATATTGATCCATTCAAGATTTGCTTGAAGAGAAGTTACATCTCAAAACGAAGGGAGGAGGGGATCGATTTATCTTCGCAAGTCCATGATAAACATTTTAAAAAATGACTTTCTGATTGATATATTCAAGATTTGCTTGAGGAGCAATTAGAGCTCAAAACAAAGGGAAGGAGGCCCAAGAAAAACCACCGAAGAAGGAAGATCTTGCACAAGCAGAAAATCCACAAATTGCCACTTCCATTGACGGGTACCTAGAATGCGGCCTTAAGCAATTTTCATCATTTCTTAACAAGAATATATGAGTTTCTTTACGCTAAATGCCAGCGCAGATAGGATAAGGAAGAGTGGATCATTGATTCCAGGACCACGACCACGACCCATTTAACAATGCAAGAGTCTGCTTTGACATTTTGGGAGGCAGAAGTGTGAGTGGGTTTGTACAAAGATATTTGTGGAACCACTTCACAAGATTCTCCACCAGTTGTGGAACCACACACCCAGGTTCCACAAATGAAAGTGCTCAAAATCGACCAAAACCAAGGTAGGAGGGCGTTTTGGACTTCAAGGAAGAAAAAAGAAAAAATCGACGCTGAGTTCCAGAAATATAGTTGTAAGATTGCAGCGAGTGTGTGTAAAATCGGGGTTCATATTGTGGAACCCGGCTGTGCGCTCCTGAGCGTACCCTGGCGGAGGAGTCGGAACTGGCGGGCAGCGTTGCCGCCAGAATCCTTAATGATGATTGACGCGCCGCGACAAGTGCGAGCCGCGGCAAGTGGAGGCGCTTCGCCATCTGCCATCTCGATTTCGAGATTCCTTTGCGCTGTCTTTTGTCAACCTGGGGGCTGGGGGTTTTATTGCCTTTTTCCGCTCTCGGAATTTCCAAAACACCAACACGTGTTCGTCAATGTGCCGTTGTCTCGCCCCCGCTCCGGTTCGAGTTCAGATGTTGTTGTGTCAAGTTACGGAGATGTGCGGTACGGTTCCCTTCGGTTGTTCGTTAGTTTAGTATAATAATATTGTGTTTTCAATTTATTGTCAATGTCAGAAACTATTTGTAATTCATGAAGCGAATCAGGATTATAAAAGGATGAGTGGAAGTGACAGAACGAAACGGATTTTATGCCTGTCCAGGCTAATCAATGATGGTAAGTTTGAGCTTTGTACTTTCAAATTTCTTTTCTCATGTAAGTGTTTATTTGATGTTTCTCATTATAAAAGTAGGTAGTGGAAGTGTCCACTTTTCCGCGGATACACTTTCCTTCGGGCTGTGATTTTCTTACTTGTATCTTTTCATTTGTGCAAAAAATAAATGTTTTTTAAGATGGTTCTTGTATAACCACAAACAAATACTGGACAGATCAATCCAAAACAAATACGACTCAAAACATTTTGCAGTCCTATGTGATGTTAAGGTGGGTCATTTGGATCAAAAATGTGGCATCTCTGTTTGTTACGATACAACAACACAAGTATGAAAAGCAGATATGACTGTTCACTTGGCTCAGCTTGGCCTTAGCCACCTAGAGCCGGTTTAGTCATGTATAAGCCTTCTTGCCCTGATTCACCATGTAACGAGTAAAACAAACTCCAATTCATATTCATCTGATTTGAAATCACTCTATAGAAAAAACCATAAATCCTAACATATGAAAGCCTAGCACTTAGCTTTAACGATTCATCAACGTCAGAACCCATTTCTTACCTTGTCAGCTAGACAGGTTGAAAGTTAGAATAGCAGACCTGTATACCTTGGCACCATGAAGTGAAATCAACAATACGTTAGTGAATGGAACACCATCAGTAGATACAGAAAATGATACCCCCATCATCATTAAACCCAGACCCATCTTCCTGAGTCAACCCGACTCAATGTCAGCCTTTACAAAATACCTTGACAGCCTAGAGTGTAAAAATTACACCACTAAACTTACTAGTCAATAGTATGGGTCGAATTATTAGTGCTAATGATTCATCTATATTTTGCATTGCATTTAGCTTTTCTGCTATTATAAAGACAAGAATTTGCCACGACGATGATTTTAAAACTGAACATACACGTTTTTATGATTTGCCAAAAACTGAGTACAGTTTTTTATTTTCCGAAACAGCCCGGAATGTAACAGCAGACCTTCTACTACCTGTATGTACAATTGTGTAACTAGAAAAATACTTAAAAAATTCTCTCATTTCACTTTATGGAGCCCTAAAAATTGCAGCTTGCCAGCTAAGAATGCTATTTCAGCACAGAGAGAAAATTAAACGAAAGGAAAGGAGCGGTAAGATTTACATGTAAAAGCTCACACTGAAAGTGACCTCACTCGTCAATTAATTTTCTGTAAAACCCGGATGTGTTCGGAGGCAGGAGGATGTTAGATATTGTGTAGTTTTTAGCTAATTTTGTGCTGCAAAAAACTAGTTTAGTTCTGCACAAGACCTTGCTACCTCGCCATGTCAAAACAAAATAAGGTGTGTAAAAATGTATAGTAAAAATGTAATAATTTGTAAAAATGTGTCGCCTTGTCTGTTTACTTACAATATTTAATATTAAACCAATTATCTGGCTGTTCTTTTTTATTTGGATTTTTGGAATCCGATGGAAATGTACTTGAACAGGAGAAAGATTTCAAAAGTTTAACTAGAAACAATTTTGAACAGACTTAAATTGTCCATCAAAACAGGAGACTGGTGATTCCAGACTGATTAAACAAGTGTTTGAAAGTGTCAAAGACGATGCCTCTAGGATAAAATTGATAAAGGAACTATAGGCAAATGAGGACAAAATCTACGCTTAACAACTAGCAGAAAAGGACAAAAGGAAAGGAGAAAAGATTTGCGCCTAAGCCTACAAACCATTCATCTGATTGTGAGGCTCTTGATGATTGCGCAATAATTGATCAGCAAGCTGAAGAATACTTCAATCGCGCTCTACGGCTCATCGACAAAGACGCTGCTGGCGCTAATGTATCATTCACAGAATTCGTTGGAGTTGACGACGGGGCAATGACTTCAGCTCCGCAGTCTCTGGATGAGATAATTAGTGAACACGTGACCAAAGATGACACGGAAGACGACGATGGTGAAGATGGTGTAGATGTAGAAATTCCGCTCGTCATGGGGGCAGAAGCACTCGCCGCCGTCGAGACTCTTCAAAATTTTGCGGCGCAAAAGGGCACATCAGCACATTTTTTCAACTTAATAATGGACCTTAATGAGGAGGTTCAAAAATTTTTTCAAACCAGCCCAATTTTAGCTACTTAAGTGCGCTGATAAATTGAGCTGACTTCCGAGTCAAGTTCTCACTGAGTTGGATGCACTCTTGGAATCGTTTGAAGATCAGAGGACCTCAATCCCAGAATCACCCAAGCCCTTGGTCACATTGGAACAACGAAAAAAGTTAGCGGGTAAATCAATCCGACCGTGGAACCCACAAATACTCTCAACTAAGACTACTATGCTGAGAAGTTGAACTTTCTGAGAAGCTGAAACCTTCCTCCATGTGGATGAAGTTCCAAAATATACACTTTCATTACCAACGGCTGCGACAAAAGCTTCAATATGGTCTGGTCAGGCTTTGTGCGGTGCACTTGCAAGAAATCCTGTGAAGCAAATCGATGCTCTTGTAAAAAAAAATTTACTACTGAGCAATTCTAAATGCCACAACAGCACACCTTGTCGCAATAAATAACTTCTTTTGATAACCTAACTTTTGTATGCAATAAATTCTGTTTCTAACTTACTTTGAGTTTTCCCTAGAAAATTCTAGTTCTACCTAACTTCAAAAAATTAATTGTAGAAAAATTAATCGAAAAATTAATTGCAATTTCCCTGGGTGATACTAGTTTTTACTAGTCAAAACTAGTTTTCACTAATATCCAATTAGTTAAAATGGGTTCCAATGGCGAGGGTCCCGGTTAATTCTAGTTTTCACTGATTTCGGGTTTTTACTGTAACAAATATGTATACATAATTCTAGTGATAAACGAGATCAATCCTTACAAATGTAGCAACCAAACTCACTTCCCTTACAGTATTTAAAATAAATAAATAAATGATTAATCGAGGATTAAGCATATAAAGAATTTTTCAGAAACTTTTATTAGAATTTTTTAAGAAATGTTGATGGACTTAAGCCTTTTTTCTGATTATACAGAACACAGCCTTTTTTCTGAGCATCTTACAACACACATAAATCAAACAATTTGGTTTCCATTTCATAAAAGCACCAAAGAAAAAAAAAATTAAAAAATAAAACCACAGGAGTTTTCCAATTGACAGATTTGAGAAAAACTAATTGGTATTGTCACTGACACAATTAACAGTTTTACAGGGTGAGAATTAAAGCCCCACAAGATGCTTCATCACTACAATCGGAACGTACGAATATTCAAAAAAGTTTAAATCAACTCATAAGAGAGAAATCTGCCCCTACTTTTAAAGTTAGTAGTGGTAAACTTAAACTTCTGACTCACAGATAGATCAAAGTCAATCTGCTGTTGAAAACAAGACTTATCTGTTCCTATTAAGTAGCATTTCGATAGCCAAAATGCGAAACCACTTATCTCTATTTGTGACATCGCAGACTTCCTGTCATAATTTTTTTTATACTTCCAAAAACTAATCTATGTAATTTATTAAAACTTCCGGTGCTTTTTCTCTCTGTTAATAGAATATTCTGTATGAATCTCAAGCTATAAAGTTGGCTCGTTTTCCTTTAAAAGAATAAATTAGGTTCAGGAAGTTTGAAACACAGCAATGGAAATACGTGATTTAGAACTTTAGCCATCTATCATCTTTCATAAATGTATCCTTTCTTGGATACACAGCCCTTGTAAACTTGTCAAGAAAACACACATGAAAAAAAAAAAAAAAAAAAAAAAAAAAAAAAAAAAAAAAAAATTCATCACAAGGCGGACAATTTTACCCTGAAGGTTTTTTTTTTTTTTATTTTTCTTAGAAAGAGGGTAGCTTGAGTTGAAAAATACAGAAGGAGCCATATGGATTCATCATTTATGAGTTGTATCCAAAATTTTTTGAAGTGTTCATTATGTTCTGTTTAAAATAATCATAAAGCAGCATGGATAGTGGTGGTAATTTTCTGACCCTGGCTATCAGTCTATTTGGAAACCCAACTTTAATTTCGACGGTAAAACCTGCAGCCTACCTACGATTTGACGCAATTGTTACAAACTCTGACTGGGTGATTCCAACCCCTTTTGGGTACTGGTATCCTGGCCATTGAGCAGCTTGGACACACACCGTTACCGCAGTCTCGACAATGATGAAGAGGAGCACCTTTTGGAGGCCTTAAATCACACTGACACACATTGCACTTTTTGATCTCATGGTCTGGAACCCAGTAAGCGGGCCTTGCGCTATCTTTAATGAAACCTGCAAAGAAAACACCATTGATTATATCATCTGCGGGGTAAAAACACAAAATCAAATATAGTGATTCAAAATTCGATTGAGGAAAACTAAGGTGAATTTTAGAATAAAAAATCAATGTCCTGGACTTCAAATTTAGGACGAAGAAAATGAATTCTTAAGATATACTGATGAGAGTACTTGACTTTTCAAATTCAAGACTAATTTTGGATCCCTCAAAAGTTGAATGCTTGTCATAAAATTAAAAAGATGTCAACAGTTTTAAGCCTTACATTATTTACTCCAGTGATGATCAGCTTAGAAAAATGGTTTTTCTACTTACATAATCATGCTCCCTGGTCAGGCAGGTACACCCTCACATAAAAACAACTGTCAATTTACTATAAAGAGAGAGAAGACTATTTTTTCTGAGCATCTTACAACGTACAAAAATCAAACAATTTGGTTTCCATTTCATAAAAGCACCAAAGAAAAAAAAAAGTGTGATGATCAGCTTAGAAAAATGGTTTTTCTACTTACATAATCATGCTCCCTGGTCAGGCAGGTACACCCTCACATAAAAACAACTGTCAATTTACTATAAAGAGAGAGAAAAAGAAAACACTCAAGTCACAAAAAAGTAGCTCTATTACTCTGGAGGATTGATTGAGGCCCTGGGTGAGAGAAGAGCACTTCTTGGTTGCTGAGTTTCAGAATCTCCGTCGCTGATTTATGTCATAGAGAAGAATCTATTGAGTGGTTTATTCAGAATTTCTTTCATGAAGTTGTAGAATCAACACCATCAGCACTATCAAAATGCAGAGGTGCATTGCTTCGACTTCAAATTGGCTAAAATTTCAGTCTTTGAAAAGCATTATTTTCCTGGTCTTCTCCTCAAAATGATTAACATCTTAGAGTAGAGACACAATTAGTAATTACCGCACTTTTATTTGTGGTGTTTCATCATCAGTTTTTTCATCTAGAAGGAGCTGATGATTAACTTTCCAACTTATAGATTATTTTTGTCACTAAATGCCTTAATTTTGCTGCATTGGGCTGGCTCTATTTACTTGGTAATCAGTCTCGGTCTTGGAAAAAACAGCGAATTGACGGCTCATTTTTGCTTCTTTTTTTCTGGTTGAAAATAACATTGTAACTTCCAGTTTTTTTTCTAAATTTGTTTGTATTTTACAGCAGCCTTTCTTCGTCTTAAGATGTTATTTTATTGTGTGTAGAATCTTAAAGGAAATTCAGTTTCAATGAAATGTATGCTTTAGCTTTCCTTCAGATTAGATGAAATATCAGCAGAAATTCTATAACTTCACAACCAAGAAGTGCTCTGCTCACACCATGCACATCAATAATGTTATTACACAATTGAAGAGAAGCTCACTGCTAGGACCAAAAACTTTCCACTATTTCTGCAATTCTCCAAGTTCAAATTAGTATGCAGCAAGAGGTGAAACAAAATTAAAAAGTATCTTACTTTTTGGATACTCCAGAACGCTCACTACACTTGAAATTGTGCTGACTACCGCTTCTCCAACTTTTCGCACTATGACTTCGTTGTCATCCGAATTGTGATCACTGGACTCATAACTCTCTGCAATTTTTGCTGCAAAATAATATGACAGAGTGAATACTAAAATTATGTTAGACATGAAAAACTCAATACTTCAGGTTGATCTTTTTCGAAAGACCAGGAAGGTGGGGGGCAGAACCAACATTATGTAATTTTCTAAGGAGGTAACCGATGTAACACTTGGGCGCATTTTAAATGGTTTTTTTTCCTTACCTTAAACGCATTTTAAACCCTGACAAAGACATGTTTTCGTATAATATAAAGACATTCGGATTTCAAAAGTGGAAAGAGGGAAATTTTGAGAAAATGACCTGAAATGCGCTGAATCTAATTGAGATTTTGCCAGAAAATCATACAATAAGTTAAGTGTGGATATTCCATACTTCCAAGGATCTTTCTTCATGGTCACCTCCAATTTCCATACCTTTACTTAAAAAAATCCGTGCGTTTTCTGTAATTCTGTATCAACCTTTTAAAATCGGTGCTTTATCAGTGTATCTCTACTGTTTCTGTGCAGAAGACACCCTGATGAGTTTAGAAAATTTTACACATAATTTTTGATTAAATGTGAAGGTTATAATAGCCCAACTTGTGGCAAATCACAACTGACGAAATTCCAACTCAAAACTTCACTTGGATCGCATTTAACAAAAGGGAACCAGCGCAATTACTGTGTTGTAAAAATGTTACTTCTTCAAAATTATCTAAAAAATTTCTCAGAACGGCAAATAGTTTTTGCTTCCCGCCAATAATAGTTAATTTAAAAGGAAAGTAATGGTGCAAGTTTTAAAATTGCACACAAATTGAGCACTTTTGAAAGTAAAGGGGAAGTCGCGCGATTTTGAAAACACTGTAACTACGCTAGTTCCTTTTAGCTAAATGCAATCCTCTTTAAAATACAGTTAATGATGAAATATTGATGAAATTCTGTCAAACTAACTTACATAAACCCTTATAACAAATATCACACACTCTGACAGGATTTTCCCATCCTTTCTCAGGAACAGGTTTGTTATTCATGGAACAGCCTTCGCAAACTCCATCGCCGCAAGCTCGACAGTGGTGTTTCGATGCATTGTTCGGAAATAACTTCAAGCAAACCTTGCAATTCTGAAAAAGTTAAGAATTAACATATTTTCAATGATGAATGGAAACAAATTTCGAAGATAAAATTGCTAGCTGGTCATCATCATCACAGCTGCCATGCTAAGGTAAAACGCCATACAAATCTTCAGATGTTTCCAAATTTTCTTTGATAAAATACAAATTTATGGGGGTTTATTAAAGAGGTATCAGGTATTTCTTTCAATTTTCAGGCAATTTGGTTTATGTAAATATTAATGTAAGGTATCTCAAAATTTGAAGGAAAAATATGCATGACTTTCTTCAAAAATACATTTTTTATCGGGGGAAATGTAGTACATTCCAATGCTCATACTACAGCGTTTTCCTTAGGCATGGTAAACAGGGTTTCTATTATTTCTTCATTTTTCAATTCTCTAACTTTTCTGGGTAAACATAGTTTTTCCAGACTTTCTGTCTGTTGATTAAGTAGTTGAACGACTGTCAATCAGGAGATAATTGAATAACTAGAACAGGTGTTATCAGGAGGAAAACCAATTTAAACTTTGCGACAAACCAATTAGTTCTTGTAACAACTGGAATTACATAGAATTCTCTATTCATCCAAGTTCTACTAAGTGCACTATTTTAGAGAATTATTGCTAATTGGTAGTGCCTTGGCAGTACTGTTAAATAACGCTATTGCTATGATAATTTCTTTTGATTCGGAGAACAATTAACAGCAAGCAAGTAAAATGTTACGGTCCAATTCTTCAGGTGCCAAAGCACGCTTCAAATACTTTAATTGGGTATTACATGAAAAAAATATTTTTTGCACAAAGTTATGCATCTCCTATTGAATGATAATGTTTGTTAAGCTTTGCATTAAGTGATTAATTAGTATGCTTTTATTTGTACTTACTTTTATCTCACTGTTCGGCTTCCAATACTTGGGTGCAATCTGATCTGCAATCCAAGATGAAGCTACTCTAGAGGGCTCTGAGGTAACGCTTGCAACAGCTTCTGAAAGGTACGAGACGCTATCCAACACTCGCTGCGCTGGGTTCTGTACTGTGCCATTTTCAGAGTTTCCCTAGTGCGGAAAAACATTAAGTGAGTGATGATGTGCATTTCTTCAGAGTTATGATCACCCTGACAGTCCAAAGACTTGAATTTTTACGGTCATTAATTTTCTACAGTAAAAATTTTTTGCACCACAGATTAATAGCATGACTTAAGTAGTATTCATACTAAGACCACAGTAGTGCACGTGCTACAGAAAATTGCCACATGAGCATTCAAATTTTGCCAAATTTCTCCAGAAAATATTTATTCTTGAAAAAAGTTAAGAATGTTTTTCTTTGAAAGTTTTAGATAATTTTTATCGAATTAGAAAAAAAAATTTCTAAAAATCAGAAGAAAAATATTCATAAATTGTTCCGGAGATTCAATAAATGTGAGAGGAAATTTGGCAATCTTTGAAAACTCAGGCGGCGTTCTTCCATGGCACGGCAGAATAGAAAGAACCAATTTTCGAACACCCAGGGTGAAGATTTTTTTGAGACACAAAAGTTATTTATCTATCAGTGGAACTAGTTTTAAAGAAGGAGTGCCTTACGGTGCCTAGATAGATGTGTGAATTTTTTCTAAATTGAGAGTACTTTGGCAAGCGTCTGAGGGCCATAGAGAAGAAAATGCTTTTCAGTTCATGCCATCAGCTTACAACCTGTACAGCCCAGATGGGAAAATAAACTACTGAACTTTTTTTTTGGGGAGGGGGGGGGGGGAGCCATGAAAGAGAAAATATGTACCCAAAACATTGTATAAAGCCTCGTGTCTCCTTGGACATAAATTATCGGAAGCAAAAGTAAATATGTCACATGTCTGCATTCGATGTATTACTTTTTTTTTTTTTTTTTTTCAATTTCTTAGAAATAGCATGTATTGGCAGCTCACTGGAGGGACTTTAACATCCGGCAAAAACAGGTGGTCAAAGTTTTACAAATGCTTACTTCATACAATTTTGAGAGCTGACAAATCCTCTGATGATTAAACACACAATCTTACCTGAGACCAAACATGCATGATTTCTGTTCTCACAGCAACTGCATCAGGCTCATTATTGCCGTACCAGAATTGACGACTTCTGTAAATCTCACCGCAGAAAGGACATTCAATCACGTACCTAAAAAAGAAATAAAATGGTAGAGGTATAAAGATCTGTAAATTTCAATTTTAAGGAGACAATTGGTTGAAAATGTTTAAAAGCACAGTTATATAATTGTATTAATAAATAACTTAGAGTCCACATCAAATAAGTTTACGCACTTTTAAGACTGCAACAGAGAATTGTCTGGTGTCATTTTAGCATGAAAAGTACATAAATGCAAGAATCAAGATGGCAGATCTTCTGTCGCAGTCTTCAAGTACTGAAACTTATATAGCATGGAGTCTATTGCATTGATATATCATTTAAATATTGCAGAATCAAAAGATTTCAGCTATTTAAGGAAGTACAAAAAATGTAGCTAACCTAAATGTAAGGAAATGCTGATAACAATGAGCCACTAGACTAGGTGCGAATTTAAGCAGTATGATAGACGTTTTGCTATGATAAATGCTCAGATAAAAAAGGATTTTTAATCTTTGTGGTTTGTGTAAACTAGCAGACGTGGAGCAGTAAAATTAGGCATGGTGCAATTTTGAATTCTTTCCGCCAATCAAAGCAAATAAGAAAAAAAAATCATTCATTTTAAATCTTGATTGGCCGTTTCTGCTTGGTCAAGTTTTTAAATTGATGCACCGCTGCCTTCCACTTTCCTTATGCTTGCTTCCCTTTCAGAGAAACCTGCTTCACTCTTTTGTAATGTTTAAAGTTACTAAAAGGACACCTGCAACAAATGTACAGATTGGTTTAAAAGTTTGAATCAAACACTCACCCAGACCAGGCATATTTTGCGAACGCAAACCACGATGAATCACTGGAGGAGACATACTTAGGTTTCACAACAACTTCTTGTCCATTGGTATGACAGGCTTTACAGACATATACACAGTTATCATATTGATGTTGATACCTGATGGCAGGAATAAAAAACCAAATTATTAAGGAGAATCATCCCTAATCAACCACTGTCAGTTCGGTGTAAAATACTAAACCCATAATACAAACGATTTCATTCAGAAAAAAAACAGACAAAATACTCACTTCCAACAGTGATAATATTGCCAGCAGAGTCAGGATACATGACCCATTTTTACTATTGCGACTTGAATTATATTAACAAACATGGGTGAAACTATATACAGCGGCCATTTTCTCAGGGATATCACAAAGTCTGTTAGCACAATATTTCTATATTTGAAATGTGTAGTAGGATCTTGGCGACTTTGATTGTCATTTTCTTGACTAAGGTTTGATTAAATGAAAAATGAGAAGTAGGTGTTCAATTTTTTGGCCCTCTCAAAAAATGGATTGAAAAATGATTTATGTAATCTGTCATTCTCAAAAAGTCTTACGCGCCGGAAATGAAAATTCAAGAGAAACAGTAAAAACTTAATAATCTACCGGTTTTAAATCTTGAACTAAGTAATATTGGGATAAATCAATTAAATGTTTTAATATTTTAGAGCTATGAGATTTGAAATGGGTTAATTTAAACATACGAGTGTTTTTCTTGTATTTAGATTTTGGCGCTTGAGTCTTTTTGGGAAAAACCGATTCATTTGAGGAACATCCATCAAAACGAATATTAAACTATCTCCCTTCCCTTTAATTTGATGTTCTAAAGGCAAAGAGGCACTGGAGGCGCTGGTATTTTTTACAACTCAAGTTCAACACTCTTTTGTTAGAAGAATACAGACCTGCATTTACAAGAGCAGTGATGAGATACTCCTTCTTTGACATGGCCCATGGACCTTTCGCAGCGTTTCTCACAAGAGAGACATGTTGCGGAGCAGGTGAAATACTGGTCCGGAAAGTAGAGCTGATTTTTGTCCTCTAATTCACCACTAAACTTGTCATTCAAAACCTGTAAAATAAGTTTCATTGGTTAAAATGGATTGGATATACTACACAATAACACAGCCTTAAAATTATTTACATGGTTCGTGCAATTTTGGATCATTTTGCGTAAAATCAGTGAGGCATCTGATTCAACCATCTTGGATTTTGATGAAATTTTGAACTTGATGTACTCGTATTTGGTAAGACTGGTCCACAGACTCACCAGGAATAAATTTCCTGACTTTTTCCAAGGTACACTCTACTACAGGTATGGACAAATGGAATTTTAGAAAGTTATCTAAAGACGTACATTTGACAGCGTCCAATGGTACGACTGCGTGCTATATTGAAAACATATTTACTTTCTGTTCTGAGAGTGGGTCTTGTTAATGTTGTGTTATTTTTTCATGAGCTTAGTTAAGTTTTTCGTTATTTTGAGTTTTATCAATTTTTTAAATTCATCTGATAGCTTATTGAAGCTACCAGATCTGCCAGAACCTCATTTTGAACTGTGCGGCAAAGACGATACGACTTGCGACGTCACTCGATGGCCTATATTCTCAGCATCACGTTTGTCCATACCTGTAGTAGAGTGTACCGTGGACTTTTTCAAGTCTTCTCTAACCAAAATGATCAAAATTTCAAGACTTTTCAAATTTCAAGATTTTTAAAATTTCCAATCTTTTCAGTAAAATTCCCCGATTCCCCTGACCTGATGAAATTCCCACACAATGTCTGCTTTTCTACCCAAAATGGCAAAATGGGTCCATTTTGCGTCTCAGAGATGCGCAAACAGTCAAAAGGTGAACTAGAGTCCAACCAAGAACATGGTGCCCTAAAACATTTCTTTCTTCCATATAGATATAACTAATGGTTTAATTAAAAAACCTATTAAGCACCAATTCATGATTCTTAGTTCTAGCGAAATAATGAGCAACAAAATTGCATCTAGACCTCTCCACAGAGAGTCGAGCTCAAAAAAAAGAATAAAAGTTAATTGTATTGTGATACCGAATGAAAGTTCAACAGTGAGCGTGTCACCACTAAAATCCCACCCTTATCTTCAAAGATAAGGCTAACTGATAAGATAATGGAAATTAAAGGACCGATTACTTTGTCACCAACAAGATGATTTCAATACAATCATTACCGAAGTAAAGCAGAGGAAAGAGTGAGATAATGATTTGTCTTAAGAACAAAATCCAAGAAATATGAATCTTAACTCTCTTGAAAAATCGTGAGACAGTTTGAAATGATTTCTTGGGCTGATTCTTTTATTGTTTTTAAATTACACTATCTTTTGCTGAACTTTGGGCAAAATTACCTCTTTCACAGCTTTAAATAATGGGAAAAGGCATTCAAAAGTTGCTCACACTTCCTTGGATGGTAACGACTGAGCTAACAAGCTACAGTAAGACTGAAATACCTCAATTTATCGGGTCGCGATTTCATGGATCGATTCGTCAGTCCTGTGAAATCTGATAAATCAAGGTCTTACTGTACTTGAAAAGTCCCTAACTTCTCTGCGTCGCTGTAAATGCCTTGACCTTCCAGGTTTCCCAGAATGCTGGAAGCCCTGGATCTCAAACTCACAATACCAAGGAAATAAGAAGTAAAAGAAAGTGCTTACATTCAGCGTTACGAAGACGATTTGTGGACTCCGTGCAGAGCGCACAGTTGTGTTGTTCAATTCTTGAGTCACTGCATCTCGCAATTCACTAAAACTTGTCGGAGGAATTTGGGTTTGAATGCCGATGTAACGGAGTGAGCTGAATGCATCAATGTCGAGTTTCATCCTTGCAAAACTGCTGCGAATCAAATCCTCAGTGCTTTCACCATTCACTGGACAAAACAGAAAAAATGAATGAATAGAAGTTAAACACTAAAAGTTTGGCCAGGGTTTCTGTAGGGTTTTCCAGAAGTTTTTCATTTTTCAATTTCCTGACAAAATTTCTGAATTTTCTGACTCTACCTGACCTTCGATAAAAAATCTCCACTTGCATTTTGTACTTTTAATTATGTTGACTTTTGGAACACTATGGACAAAATTTCCACTTCTACACATTTAATTTAAGGAAAAAAGTGCTCAGGAGTTTTTTATGCTCCCTCACATCGAACCAGATGAAGTTGCTGAACCAGGACCCTACTCATTAAATTCCCTGACTTTCCAAGGTTTTCTGGACCGTCAAGGACCCTGTTAGTATAATTGAATATTAGGCCAGTATTGGCTAATGCTAGAGTATTTGGGACCTTCACAAAGTCTAGAAACAGGTTTTACACTAAATTTCAACTGGGCTATCTAAATTTTAAATCTTTAATGGATTAGCGTAACAGTTTCATTGTTCCTCATAAAATGGATAACCAGTTTTATGATACTTCTCAAAGATTTCCTCACGGTAAAGAGTATAGTAACTAAAAACTGTATTAGTACCTGGATGTAATGGTTGAGTGTGCCGCGTTTCATGAAATATGATTACAGCTGGTCCAAGAGCAGACAAAGGGCCGCCAAATTCATTTCTCTGGGTAACTGACTGTAACGCCGAGTGGAAGTGTTGTGTATAAGTTCGGGACGCAGATCCCAAGAACGAAAACAGATCCCGATGGAGCCGTTCTGAGCGAGTCCTGTAGATAACAATGTCCGAAATTGCTAGGATCTGGAAAAGATGGCAAGTAAAAAATTTGATTACATCACGAACTTATATGAAGAAGCATACCGGAGTGGTCGGTGCAAGGCTCATTGAATTTTCAAGCTTTTACTTACATGCTGTGTTTTGTTTTTTTGGGGAATGATGGATATTATTTCACCTTTTAAATGATTTTTACCTCAGGATTGATTTTTCCAAAAATTCTCAGTTTATAATTATTTATTAGCACTGAGGAAGGAAAAGAAAGGGCAAGCGTCTCGTCAGAAAATGGCACCATTCAACAGATATTCATGTGCAAACTAATAGGGCCAACTACATGTATACCAGACTGTTTCAACTCGGGTGAAGGCGCCTCTTTACCCCCCTATCTGTCTCGTCTCTCCTACCTAAAGTCGGGCCCTAGTGCACAGTCTAAATTGTGTTAAAAGTATATGACCCAATCATAGATAGCTGAATAAACCCTGCCCTGTTCTTTCGTTTCCTTTTATGGGGGCAAAATTTGAGCTGAAAAACTCATCTCTACTTAACTTAGTAAGATTTTGCCATTTTGTCTGGTAAGCTGCAATTCTTCGCAGCTGCAGCAAAATCTGAGCCTTTTCATTCTAAAAACCTCTTGAGAGCCTGAATGTTTTTAATTTCCATGGTGATGACCGAGTGGCTTTTTTACTTCCTTCGGCAAATTACCTACTATCTCGCCGATATCCAATGATTTTTTAGTTTTCACAGGTCGATTTTAAACATTTTCAAAAACCCCTCTCCTCTGCTTTCCCATTTGTTTTAAGGTATTAATCTACCAGCTGTACAGGGAACTGCTTTCTAAACCCTTGCAATCTCTACATACTTAACACACTTTATTTTAAACTGAAGGGTACTTGCGCAGTACTTTAATGCTCCTGTATTTAGCATACGTCTTTACTAATTTGTCACAAAAAATGTAGCTAAACAGGTTTTTAAAACTGAATGGTTTGAAATTTTGTGCAATTTCTATATGTAATGTATTGTATTTCAGCATTAAAATTCTACTCATTGTAATTAAATTCAAAATAAGTTGAAGAAACAATGAAATTACCTTCAAGAGTAGCCGCGTGCGCTGATTTTCATGACTTGTTGTGCCAAGTAAACCTTCAGTGTCCAGACAAATCAACTTTAAATCAGGATCGTAGGCAGCCCAAACGCCTAGCGTGCATGAGTTCTGCTCGTTTGAAGTTTGAAAAACCTCCTGGCCATCAAAAAAGGTGCGATTCAGCGTATGCGATTTACCATCTCCAGTGTTGCCAAAGATTGAGATGACTTTGATACGTACGGAGCTATCCTGAATGTTCAACTTTTTGATGAAGTCATCGGCTGAACTGACCTGCGAAAATAGGACGATCAGAGAGGTTAAATCTGTCTAATTTGAGGAGTACAAAAAATTTGCAAGCGCAGGCACTAAGGAGCCCTGGAGGGCTTCTCCAAAATTTGATTTTTTATTCTAGAAAACGAGTGCTTACTTAGGTAGGTATGCACTTTCAGTGTTTGTGGTCATCTGAAAAAGAAACAAGTTCTGCAGGGATGAAAAAAATACCTACGAAAAGACTTTTCGTTCTTGAAGTGAAATAAATGTATTTGAATTTGTTCAGACATGTATTCACACTCTTTGAAGACACCCCTAGAGAGTTCTAAAAAAGGTAGAATGAAAATAGGAAACTTACTTTCAACAATTCTTTCCCATCCAGTAGTAAAAAGCTTTTAACCAAAGATTCGGACATCTCCGGAATTCCAAGTTTCAGCGATGTGAACTCAGTTGTGAGAGCAACGTCAGGCAAGTTGGCAAGCAGTTTGTCATCTAACTCATCGTCCAATAATTTATCCTGCCCCATTATCAAGGAGGCAGGGTCGATTGGCTCCATCATCGCAGGTGACGAGACATCGGAGCTTTGACCCAGTAGCTGGTCGACTTCGTACATGTTCAGGATGGAATTCATGAGCAAAATTGATAGGGTTAATCTGTCGATAATAGGGTTTACGTTGGAATCCAAAATACGAGCCTCTGATTGAAGCTTATAAAATAGGACATCGCAGTATATCTTGTGCTAAAGTAACACTGGACTAATCAGAGCTCAGTGCATTCCAGGCAGGCTGACTCGGGGACTGCAAACTGAAAACAAACAAAGAAGCAGATAAGTTAAAACCAGTAACCATAACTATAGGAGCCAACCAGAGCAGTGAGAAGGAGGGGCTTAGTGACACCACTACTCAGGAGCAGATTTCATCTGGACAAAATGACAAAGAGGCAAGATTGCAATTTTACAAACATCATTCTTATGTTGCTTGAACATTCGAACCAACTGAACGATGGAAAATGTCGGAACTGATACTGATTCAATAGTCTTTCAAAAGAGTCAGAACTAATGACTCAGCAATAGTTTAAGACAAGAGACAGAGCAGTTTCTGATCAGTATTAATGACAAAAATAAAAGAAAATGGGTGAATAATTAAATATCAGCATCACTTTCATGTCAAAGCTTTTAATAAACAATGCAAAGTAAGGTTAGGTACGTAACTTAGGTTCATGAGATTGGGTAGTGGTATCGAGAGGTCATCCAATTCATCACAACTCCCCCTCAAGATTTTGAAATTCTATCCATGCTCTCATGCAAAAGCTTAACAAAGGTACATACATATTTCACAATTGTGTACCTGAGTAGTAAAGCTGAATAGAATGTGCTCTCAAATTTCATTCAGAAGATATGAGCCAACCATGTGTTACAACAGAGTCAGGGATTTTAAAATCATTTGCTTAAAAAATAGCTGCATGGCAATAAAGTAAACATACGAAGCGAGTGAAAGCGTGTGTAAATGCTTCGGAGGGATTCCATGGAAGATGAATGAAAGGCAAAATATGGTCGCTGAAAGGATGAACACCTGATATGCATGAAATGTGATCTTTCACATTGAGAGCGTGTGAAACGTGATAAACTTACGAATTCTGAGGCCAAATGATGAACTTCATAAGAACAGGATCGCGAAGTATCAGGATCAAACACAATCAAAAGAAAACCTTTCTTACACCAACACCAAGGTTAATCGCTGACTTTTAAGTGTGTTTTGATCGGAAATGTTGTGTGTGTGTGTTGAGTGAACTTGCGGAAACTTTGCACAGCTTTCCTGCGGCGACTGTGATTGGCCACTTCGGCAGATCTCATATGCAACTGTGAAACATTTCCTCCAAAAGTTAGCCACCTGAAACCACGTTGAATTTTCGTAAAGTAATTGAGATTTGTATTTTAAGTTATAGATTTTTAGATTTCATGATAAAAATTCAACTTTTTCACTCTTAAAGTGTGAAGTATCAATGGTTCCAACTTACAAACTAAGTATTTTCTGTTCTATAAGTTGGTATTGATTGTTTATTTACAAACTTTTGCCCCTGCATTATCCCTTGCAATATTTTATTCACTTTCTCTCTCATCCCTTTTTCCATAAACGTAGAATTACCAAAATTACCAGAAACGTGCACGTTGTGTTATAAATCTTGCCTCTTACAAATTACAACTTACAACTTCGTGTGTCTGTGGCTGTGGTACATGATTACATTGTGAAACGTAGCTCAAATTGGACCGATAACACTGGTAGCAGACCCTTTTTTTTATGCTTTGCTTTTACTTATGTTCATGTCAAAACTTGACTTGAATCATTGTATACTAATATCATTTTCAAATAAAACTGCCTAAGTACTTCTTGTAATGTGCCAGAATCATGCTGAATTTGACAGCTGAAGGTGATTCCTCCCAGGAAGTAAACAAACATCGATAAGTATATCAAATGAATTTTGCTAAATTACGAGCTTTGCTTTTCTTTCTTTGAACAAACAGAGAAGTATACTTCAGCAGTCTATTGGCGCAAAATCTCTTCCAAAACCCATGAATTAAAGCCAAATGAGACTAAACGGAAAATATCGCACTCGATTAGTATTGGTCGAATGCGATATTTTGCATTCAGTCTCATTTGGCTTTAATTTACGGTTTTCGGAAGAGTTTTTTTGCCAATAGACTGCTGAAGTATGCTTCTACACTGTTACTTCTCTGTTTTTTCAAAGAAAGTAAAGCAAAGCTTGTAATTTAGCAAAATTCGTTCGATATATCGATGTTTGTTAACTTCATGGGAGGAATCACCTGAATATGGGAGCTGAATGTCGTTGCTCTGCAGTTGAATTTTCATTATTTTTTGGTATTTTTCATCCACATTTTGTCATCTTTGGGCCAAAGTATCACAAGCGCCACTTTGCCAACTATTCTGGAGACATGAAAAACTGATCTGCGACTGCACAAAACGGAATTTTCGCTTGAAACTTGGATTACGCATCTAGCATAATTTCCTGCCTTGTATTTTAATAAAAATTTCTCTAAGAAAACATTTTTTTCTTTGAAAATTGGCGCTTGTGATTCTACGTTCTTGGGGCATTCTGAGAACTGATGGCGCTTGTGGTAGGGAAGCTCATCAAATTTTAACGAAGTTCTTTCCATATTTATTCATTTTTAATCTAAAAAAATTATTATTTTCGCATGTAAATGCATCTTATTAATCCAAAGCCATCCGTAACTCAATTTTGATAGCGTATGTGATACTCTGGCTGGAAACTGGAAAAGTGACGAACCGCTGCAGGTCATTCCAAGTGTTTTTGATACTGAAATTGTGAAAACAATACTAAAGATGAGTGATTACCCAACTTGGCGCTTGTGATACTTGACTCTTAAGTGGTGCTTGTGATACAAAAGTTCATCAACTTCAACGGAGTATTTTCTATATTTATTTATGTTACTTAAAAAGAAAAATCTGAAGTTCTAAATAAGGAGATGCATTTACTTACAAAAATAATTTAGCTTAAAGTCATTCTGAGGGTTGCTGTAACAAAAATTACAAACAATCAGAATGGTGGGCAGTTGCAGAGCTTGGCGCTGTGATACTCTTCTCCCAAATGGCCGAAATGGCGCTTGTGTTACGAAAGTGCATCAATTTTAATTAATTTTTATTCATATTTCTACAGTTTTGTTTAGAAAAATTATTTTCGTATGTAGATGAATTTTGTTACTTCAAAACTATTCATAAGTCAATTTTGGTAAAAATAGCGCTTGAGATACTTTGGCCGGAAGGTGACGATTTGTATCAAGCTGTGAAGAGTTCAGGCAAACTGATAAGTGCTGAGTCCTCTCAATCCTCATCAGTGCCCTGAATTTTGTGCGTGATGCGCAAAATTCATGGCACCACTTAAAAATCGACCGATGACTCCCACATTCAGCCACATTCAACTGCCCATATTCAGCGTATGATTCTGGCGTAATATATTTCAAGTTTGTTTGACCAACCGCAGGTTTTCCCTCCTTTGTTTCAGTCGATGGATTTTTTGATGCTGACTTGAAATCGTAGCTTAAAATGTCTGGCAGGAAGACTTGCCCAACAGTGAGTGGGAAAAATGTAGGAGCTGAATCAACAACTGGAAGTCATGCGGGATTGGGAAAGGAAGAAGAAATGAAAGAAGATGAACGCCAAGAATACCTGAAAAAATATTTTCCAGAGTTCCTCAGCACTGTTAAAATGTGCGTTAAGGAGACTGGTTTGAAGCGTGTCGATGTCGGAAATCTAGGCCTGGATCCTACTCAAATAAAGGACGTGCTAGATGCTATCTCAAATTCCAAGGTTTGCATTTATTCATCTACTTATTCAATCTGTTCATTTACTTATTATTAATTTATTGAACAACAAGCAGTCAAAATGTCAAAAACAGATCGGGATGGCAAAATAAATTTACTGAACGGCCAGTTCTGGAAAACACTTTAGTCGCCAACGTGCTGAATTGTCCTCTGTAATTACAGCTAAAATGTACATTTACATCTCTGATAGATCTGCTGGAGATCTTGCCAAATAAGTATACCCACACTCTTTTAGACTGCGACAGCAGAACCGGCATCGTGAGTCTTGCATTTGCTTTCAATGCTGAACGGATATCACATTATCTTCTGTCGAAGTCTAAAAGTGGGCAAACTTATTTGGTCAGGACTCCAGTTAGTATAAAAGACCCCTTTATTCATGATATTGGGTAAGGATTTAAAATTTTTGTCATCAGTGACACTTTTCTGAGACACTGTCATCATTTGATGTTATTGTTAAAATAGAAAGGAACTGATCGTGAATTTGTTTATTAAACCGAAGAACTTCTAAATATAAGGATTTTTCAATGGTAAAAAACGTAAATTTTGCATTGCATTGCCAAAACAAGCTTTGAACTCTAGCTAAAACTTTGATTTGGGGACTGGCTTTAGTACCATGAGGTATGCACATAGGCCACAATTGAAAAAATGCCTTAGTTTCCCAAAAAAGGTCACAAAAAAGCCCTCTTATTAAGAGGCTCTTTCCAGAGAGCTTATAACGGCACATAACGTTTTAATTCTCATCATATTTTTAACATCTCTTGGTCTATCCTTAATATAATATGCCGCAATCAGACGCTGAATTTAGCAGCTGAATGTGGAAGTCAACAGTCTTCGCCCAACGGCTGAAATTTAGCAAATTCGAGTTATTTTCATCCAGATGTGTATCAAATCTACTGGAATAGTTCAGACAAATTCAAAATTGGTCCGATGGTTGCTGAGAATCGTTGCTGAATTTTGCGCGTCACGCGCAAAATTCAGGCATCGGGCCGATGACTTCCACATTCAAGCCACATTCAGCTCCCACATTCAGCGTGTGATTGCGGTGTTACAAGTCTGTGGCCTGATCATTCAAAGTATATCCTCATGACATGACAAGACATAGCCCTATCTTAAGCATGCAATATATTGCATCACCATGTCTTATTGGACTGCTGTAAACTTTCAATGATTGACTTGCTGGCAGCATTACTAATAATTTTTCTTATCATGTCTTTGGCTTGTTTGTTCCATTAGGTCCATGAGTTCAGTGCCGAGAACAGTGATCTTCGTTGTGGGATACGATATTTGATTCAAGAGTTGAAAACAAACTCAACTTTATCTAAGCTTAACCTCAGGAAGTGCAAATTTCGGATAATGTACCTTTTAACTTTGATGGACGCTTTGAAGGAAACAAAAATAACGGATTTGGATCTCTCCTATGTCTCCTGTCCTCCATTCAGCAGTGAAAACACGGAGCGGCAATTTGTCAATTTTGTGTGCAACACATTGGACTTGTCGCATCTCAGGTTGACATCCTGCTCTTTTTTGACTCCTAGGGCAGCCAAGAACTTGGCTGAAGTTCTAGACGGTACAAACCTTACTCATCTTTGGTTGGAAAACACAGGCTTCCGCTGTAAAGGAGCTTTTAAAGCGCTGTGTAACATGTTACCTGAATTGAAGATGAAAGAGCTGCACCTAGGACAGAATGAAATCGAAGACGATCAGTTGAAACCTCTTTGCAAGAGTTTACAGAGGTGCTGGGAGTTGAATGTATTGGATCTTCACTCCAATAAAATTACTGAGAACGGAATGAGTCTCCTCTCTAAATCTCTGGATTCAAGATCTGGTATCTCATTGTTGCTGGAGCTTATACTGACAGATAACAAAGGTTTCAGTGCCAATAATATTTCAATGCATATAAGGAAGTCTAAAATCACTGTATTGCATCTAGGTGGGAATCAGATTCATAACTGTGAGGCGTTCTCCCTGCCAGATTTATTTAAAGGTGCCTCTGTTACCGAATTACATCTGGGTCATTGTAATTTAGGAGACGATGTAACTCAAAACATTGTTAAAAGTCTAAAATCTTCAAAAGTGACTAAAATAAATTTGAGCAGCAACCGTGTTGGGCTTGCAACTATATCTGAATTTGCAAACTGCTTGAAGGAAACACAGATCACTGAGATTGACTTTTCGGAAAATCAGCTCTCCGCAGAAGCACTGGATGTGCTTGTGGAAGGTATCAAAGATTCAAAGCTTCGAAGGCTTACTCTGAGGGGCAGTGCAGAAACATTGCAAGAAGGCTCACGTATTGCTAACTTTGTTGAGAAAATTGGGAGCCCTGGTCTAGAATCCTTAGACATTAGCTACACTAATTTTGAAAATTCGATCGCTATTCTAGCAAATGCTCTCAAAAAATCTGAAATTCTTGATTTGAATCTTAGTTCTTGTCAACTGGGGGACCGAGTGGATGTTTTAGCCAAAGTTTTAAAGGACACTACAATCATTGATCTTAATTTAACAGGAAACAATATAGACGATGATGGTGCAATAAGATTAGGGGAGTCAATAATTGAATCGATAGTTGCTAAGTTAAATTTAGGAAACAATCTTATCTCCGACAATGGAGCAATGGTTTTGGGGCGTACTCTCCAGAGAGGACCATTGTATGAATTAAATTTAGAGCATAATAAAATTACTGATAGTGGTCTTGAATTGGTAGCAGATCTACTGAAAGGAACGTATGTAACGGATGTGAATGTCGCATTCAACACAGGCTGTAAAGTATTACCCTTGGCTACGGTTTTGTGGCGTAACCGAACTAGGGCTCACAAATTGTATGAAATGTACCATACTCTGTTTGACGAAAAGGAGTTTGAAAAAGAGGAATACAAAGATACATCTGTTTTAAGTGCAGTTATTGAAAAAATACTGGTTTTTTACAAATTAATAATGAAAGATCCCTCTGCTATCAGTTGTCTGGCAAAAGTGGAAAGAAAGATTACCTTCCAAGAAGCAGTGAGATCAACACAGGAAGAAGAGTTCTTGTCGATGACTTACTCGAAAGGTACTTTAACCTTTTTAGTGCATGCTGCATTACTCAATTACTTCCAGCCGCCATATAACCTTGATGTAACACATTGTATGGATTTTTTGGATCTTGCTATAAGGCTTGAACTGGACCCATCAGCAAATTTTTTTGCTACAAGAATTGCCGAGAGGATCATTATGAATAAAGAGGAACTTGCGCAACCAGAGGTTTATGAAATGTTGAAACAAATTGAAGAGCCACTTTGTAATTTAAAATTAGGTCCTGATAACATGAAAAAAATAATGAAATATTTTAAGAGGTCTTAAGCTGTTTTGTAGCACTGTTTTGCCCCAAATGTGTCAAGCATTCTTTCCTCCTTCTCTCTCGTTTTTCCTGGAAAAATGGAACTGTCGATCTACAACTCAATATGTCAATGGTGAAACTCCCAACCACATATCTCGGTTTGTGATATTGCAGACCTCCTGTCTTACTTTTGTACAATGGAGAACCAAGGTCAATTCTTAAAAACTTTCATGCTTTTCCACCTCTGTGCAAAGAAAATTCTAAAGGAGCTTCAAGGAATGGTTTTGATTTTTTCTGCTTTAGAGCAATAAAATAGGAGTGGAGGTTTTTCAACACTGCAAACGAGGTACGTGGTTTGAGAACTTCACTGTCGATTTGTTGTAAATGATGACTCATGTTACTTTCTGTGATATTTTCCTTTTTTATCTGTTAAAGTACCCACCATTGTTGCTCCATTTTCAATCATGGTTAAAAACCATACATTTCAAAAGTTATCTAAATCATAGTAATATTTGTGGAAATTGTGTGCAAATATCAAAACAATTTAAAAGTTTGACTTTAACTTCGCTATCAATTGTTTAGGTCCAATCATGGACCAAGTATTTTCAAGGAAGCTTATTTCTTGTTCTCAGGTTGGGATGAACCCAAAATATTTTTGATAAATGAAAATAGAATAGAGTAATTTAAAATAATAGGATTTATTAGAATGTACCTGTACATATATTTACAATAAATAAAACAATTTTTTTTTATAAATTTAGCTGTATTGAAAGATTTATTTCTCTTAATATAGTAGGAAGCTGAGATCTATTTCCCGCATTGAATTTCACTGACGAACGTTTAATTTTTGTTTTAGTAGTTTTGAGTTTGGATTCAGACGAAGATCTGAGAAGTAAAGAGAAGGGAGAGTAATGATCGTCACCGTGAGAAGAGTTGGTTTCGCCAACTTGCCATGATAAAAAACCCAAGAGAGGAAGTATAGTTTCCGCCAAGCATGACGAGGAAAACCCCACTTCAGGCATTAGAAAGTTGCCTGTATAAAATTCGCTTCAGAAAAAAAATTGTGAATCTCAGATGGTTTGCTGATATATTACAGGCAATTTGTCAAATCAGGCATTTTATCAAATGCGTAGGATGATAGTCAAATGCCAGTTTACGAAATTTTGAAAATTTATGACAATGAGCTAATGAGTTTTCAATATTTTGGAAAAATAAGTAACTCATAAAATCCACACTCTGTGTTCTCTCTTCTTCAAATGCTTTTCATCAATTCAAATGTTGAAATTTTAAAACTTTAGGGTTTTATGGCATTCCGCTTTCAAGATAAATGTTCATCCAGGAACTAGAAATCGTTTAAAATACCATTCCATGGCGCAAATTTTTATAACGCTTCATTTCTTACAAAATCAATGAATTATTTTTTCTAAAATTAGGAAAATAAACAGAATTTCAATCTAAATAAGAATATTTGACAACTTGCCTGCGCATTTGACAAAATACCTGTTTCAACTTTCAGCCTGTGGCAGATATACAAGTTTGACAAGCAAACAAAATTATCTGCAAATTGCAAATTTTAAAAAAAAAAAAAATGTCGTTTTTTCAAAAGTTTTCCCCCAAAAAATACATTTTCTTTTAAGTAAGTTTGGCAGTGTTCAAAGATTCATACAGGTTTTTGCTCTACAACAGCATTGCTGAAACTGAAACTGATTTCGTATTTTTTTTCTCTCGAACTAGAATTTTAAAATTTAGCTCTTAAGATAAATAACCAAAATAAAGTATTTCAATTACACTGATAGAGTGACACTAAAAAGATCTGAATCTTAAAAATTTAAGTTTGTAAACTAAAAACGAACAGAGGTTTTTTTTTTTTAAATTAAATATCAAAGACAGTGCTTCCTAACTCTTCTGAATGGACTTAGATATTATTTCGGCGAGAGTCCTTTTTTACAGCACCATTTTGTTGATGATGTTCATCTCGATATGAAAGTTCTGGATGGATTGGCGATTTACAGGCTTTATTTCAGATCAGTTTCTGCCGGTTAATTAACTGATTTGCATGGGAAGTTGATCTAAGTTATGCAAATCTGTGTTGAAAAAACTCAATCTTTCTGAAAGAAAAGTGTCTTGCTGTGCTGTTGCAAAAATTCTCCTCATATATTATTTCCTGGAAAAAATATCACCCAATAATTTCTCATGGGAGTTTCACAACCTTGTTGACTTGTTCATAAAGTGATGATCATTTACCAACGCTCTAGAAACACTGAAAATTTGCAGTTATAGTATTAAAACCTATCAAATTTCTTAGTTTTCAAACATTATACCTGTCTGTAAAACATTAAATTCTCTTGAGAAAAGCTCTGAACTAATAAATCACACAACTGCAAATTTCTGGTGTCTACGATACCGTATTGCTAAAGCGTTTCACAATACCCGCAGTTCCGCTTAAATTTAATTACAATTTTAAAAAAAGATTACCAAGAATAATGGTATGCACTGGGTCCGGTATAAAAATCATTAAAATTCACATGAATGTTGTTGCATAGCTTTAATCACATAGGATATTCTCTCTTTTTATGTTTCTTAATATAGACAAATTTGATAATTTTCTACTTAGGATGACTTGCATATTTTTCCTTTTTACAAGGGAAAAGAAAAAAAAATCCTAAACCTAGGTAATTTAAAGGGCTTAACACCAACTTTATCTTAAATACAATCAATAAGTATCAACAAAGATCAAATCTAGTCAACATGTACAAAATAAAAGCACCTCCAGTTGTACACAAACCCTGTCTAGCCTTTGCATTTATCCAAAAATCAAAATAAATCAATAAATAATACAAACTTTAAAAATTCTCACTGCACTGCTTACATGCTTCTTAATTTTGCAAAAATTCAATTTTACAATACCTACTTTCTTGAGTCAAAAAAGTGGTGAAAGAAAGAGAAAATTTTAAAACTTAGGAATAGATAGTAGGCCCATTTATTATTTAAATATACTGAGCCGATGTAAACTGAGCTGTAGTTAGATATTTTTAGGTAATTTTCAGGATTGTATTCCTGCTTTGAACTGCAAGTATGTTAATAGACACTGGTAACAATGAGAATACACCATAGACACTGAACAGAAAATTTATTTCAAGAGTGACATAAATGTTTCAAATGTATTCCTCAAACTGAAATTAAATTAAATAAAAGGAAAGGGGAGACTTTGACAAATTGAGATACATTTTCCATGAAAGTAATATGTGTCTCAAATTAGAAATTAAATGAAGAGAAAAAATCGGCCTGAAATGGCTTTCGCAAAATTCTATCCTACTTATAAAATCATTTTAGAATCTGAAAGAAAATAAAAATAGTACGATCAATTTCAAAGAACTGCATGCACAGTTTTGAAATGAGCTATCATCTTTAAATTTTTAATATTTTAACAAAAGAAAAGGTACTAAAATTTAGGCAGTAGGGTGGTTTCCACACATAACAATAACGATTTTATAAAAAATTTTAAAACACATTAAATACTAAAATAAAAAGGCAACGCATGGAAAAAGATGTGGAGAGGTGGAGAGGAGGTGACAGCAAATACAGAGCAAAGATTACTTTTCAAGTAAAACCAGCTCAATCTTTAACGCAAGAACTCAACTATATTAGTGTTACTGAAGTTCCATTTCAACTGAGATTTCACTTACACTGTTACTTTTCATTGAAAGATGATGCGATGTCAACAATGAAACTCTCAGACCTTGTATCTTGTTTGCAGTGTTTAAATGTGTATGCTCCTATTTTATTCGTTTAAAGAGGAGAACAGATCAACATCATTCCTTGAAGATTTTTCAGAAATTTTTTCCTACCGGGAAAAAAAAATCATGAAAGTTCTTAAGAATTGATGTTCAGTTTCTTATATCAAATTATGTAAACTAATTTTGTGCTTAACTGATCTTTTGTCGTGCCTTTCTCAGAATTTCTTTTTTGAATATTAATTAAGCTTAGTGCAAAAAAAATCATATAAAGTTAAAAGTTCAGAATAATAACACAACAGACATGATGAACTTTGGAACTGCTAAGCAACGAATACTGTCAACTCCATTATAATTAACTGCAGTTAAAAAAATTCATGATCAGAAAAATTCATTTTTCACAGGTAAAGTAAAAGTCTGGCAGGAGGGATATTCTTCGCGCTGAACTAAAAAATTAATGCTGCCACTAACTAGACCCTCATAAAAATAAAAACGGTTGTCCGTTATTTGACCCTGGTTGAACCTAGGCCTTGGTGGCCTTATCAGGGTTCACTCCTAATTAGGCCCCAGTGAATTTTCACCAAGTAAAATACAGAGTGATTGAGAGTGCATACTGCACCACGTGGTTTATAGGGAATTTCATGTCTCACTTCAAACGGCAACCTTGTGATCACCTCTATCATCAATACATCCCTAGTGCCAAAGTCCACCTCACATGAAAAATTAATTTTTGCTGTTGTGAGGAACAACTCAAGCGAAACATAAACCAACCAATGAGGCCAGAAGGAACCAACCTACACTTTGGAAAAAATCTAGTTGATGTGGTGGCTGCTGACATAATTTTACACATAGAATGCGTTTCCACAAAATAAAAAAAATCCAGCAAAAAATGGGAAGATGTTAGAAGGTTGATAGTTCATCAATAATGGTGATTGACGCATGTATCAATTGCATTGATGAAACATGCATAACAACAAGCCTCAAGACAAGGTGTTAATTGGACATATTTCTATCAAACGGAACTAAGGTGCCACAGGGAGAGGAAGAGAGAGGGGGGCTTGAATTGATAGAACACGCTATCTGGGATTCTAAAATCCTCAAAAGGAACTCAATTTGGCGCTTAGTTCTGTAAAACAGAAATACGTTTAATTAAAGCACTATAAAACATGTTTCTGCTAAATTTTTAGAGGAAAACGAATTACATGAAGAGTGGTCTCAAAATCAACTCCTGAGCAAGATAAAAAAATTCACAGTTGAGGAGCTTTCCGGAAAAAGGGCACATGGCAAAAAATCACGTTTGCGAAAAATGAATTTTAAGTTTCCATGATTACTTTCTGGCCACTGATGGTAACTTAAATCGCAGCTTGGACTCCCGATTTTGAACGTAAGTCACAGTCAGTGGCCATAGAGTAATGATGGAAACTCCAAATACATTTTTCTCCAACGCGATTTTTTGCTATGTGCCCTTTTTCCGGAAAGCTCCTCAATTGACATTGGCGGAATGTGAAAAATACAAGAGATTTCAATTGTTGTCTGATCCGACTTCAATTTGTTCTGTGTAAAAAAAACTTGGTGCTATTTTGTGAAGGAGTCAATTTCTGAACTTCCCGTTGCTTGAATCACTTTCTGCGTAAGATTTTGTAGTGGAAACAAGTGACTTTTTCCCCCTCAAGACCTCGCCTAAAAGCTCATTGGTACCAATTGTGACCCAAAAATAAGGTTCTTACCATTTGGACATGCTGTGAACATATGCCTCAGAAAAGATTGGTCCTTACGACCATTTCAGATTAAAACAACCAATGCAATTGATCACTATTACCAGCTTGGCGAGGAATCTAGCTCAAAGTGGGTTGGTTCATTTGGCTGAGCTCAGTTCAGATCTTGTAAAACTATGATTAGGCTCCTAATGATTAAGAATAGTCTAATTAACAAGTATGTACTCGTATTTACACAGGTATATCTTCAGGTTAAGTTAAAAACAACTGAATCAATTTAAAACTTGAGTATCTGAATAATGCGTACATTACAACCAGGACTAGTTAACATTTACACCTGCTATTATATTTAACAGATAGAGGTAATTCTAGTTGAAAAGTTAACAACATAAATTTATAAAAGAACAATGATTTAATAACAATATTGCATCCTACAGATTACACGATGGAAGAAAAGGACATAATTACATTAGATATTCCCACATCGCACTTAATGGACAAGTGTGCAAACTATGCACTAGAGTAAAATTTTGATAACAAATGATACATCAACTAGAGGTTATTTTTAACTTTTACAAAAATATTTGAACCAATTGTTTCAAAAACCAATCATCTCTTCTTCTCTAAATGAGTTTTCAGAAAAAAATCACCTGTGATATTGTGTCAAGATATTCAAACATACAGTCATACATAAGATATCCACTTTTTACCTATTTGGAGCAATGGTGAGGCACAGCTGACGTTCAAATATTTGTCTCTCAAAGAGAAAGAGAGTTCTGAAAGGAGTTATTTCACATTGACAATAAGACCAAGTATGCATTTAAAACAAGTATCGTATGACTTTTCATTCTTCATCTCATCATTTCTCATCACTACAAAAATCTCAACGATCATTTGGCAGGCTGATTGTGAGTAAACTGATTGTTCCGTTGGATATTTCTCCAATTTCATTGGATCATCGCATTTTTGATAGAACTTTATCTCACTCATACAAAATATAAGCCTGGAGATATTCGTTTTCAAAATAATTGGTTCCGTTAGAATTAGAATTTGATGATTATTGCGTTGGATATTTAAAAAGTGCTTGATATTTAGACAAATTAGATAGATTCAGCCGCACTCCATCAGTCTTTGACCGATATCCTTTCATGTTTTATTTTCTCGACAGAAAGGTAATCATCATTCTGTCTTGAAATTTTGCAAGTGTATTTTCATATAAGTCAGAAGAAATGTGTAAAAAGTTTCAAGGCATTACACTGATTGGTTCTCTGGTAAAAAAAATAAAACTTAGGAGGAAATTGAGCATTGCGCGGAATGCAGTTAAACTGATTTCAAATAAATTCACCTGACGAAAACAATCAAAAGAGCAGCCGAAAAAAGAAATTGCTGGTGATGGATGACAAGTTGCTATTATTTTTTGAGTTTTGAAAAAGAAAAAAAAAAAAGGATGGAGAAAAATACAAATAAACTACAGGAATGTTATCCTTCAGTTTGAGAAGTGCCAGGTTTTACACTTTTGTCGCTACAAGAGAAAAATAAAGATTGAACCAAGCAGTTTGATGCAGAATTTATTCCCTGAGTGCTTTCAGCAGAATATTCACTCAGTGTTCGCCGAATTCATCCTGTGAAGGATGTCCCGTATTTATACAGGGTGATTCAAAACTCCCACACCACCAGCACTAGGTATCATCCTTGTAAATTTTTAACAAATTGAGATATAGACTTGAAATTATGTGAGTACACCCCTGTTACAGGAGACAACTTTTGGGAACCTCGAAACTATAAAAGGGGCAACTATGAAAAGTGGCGAGTACTTTGGGGGTTACAAAGGTAGTGCAAAACTTTTGGATCACCCTGCAAAGATGATTTGTCTGACTAAAACAAGAGGCAGATAAGTAAAGCTGATTTTCACAATCTTAAGGCATTAGAACTCGTGACAGTTGCACCAACCATTTTGCTTTTTTAAATCATGAGACCAGAGGATTGCTAACTTGAATCTATATCCTAACACCAGAGGATTGCTAACTTGAATCTATATCCTAACACCAGAGAAATTACTGGCTAGAAATGAATGACACATTTCTAATCAAGTCCAAGGACGCAATTCTATTGCAAAGTTCAAACTCATTTAGGAATCAAAATAATTTTTAGTTAAGCTTCTAGGAATGGAACTGGTCACTTTCTAATTAACGTAATAAAAAGTAATAACGTAATGTTTTAATAATACGTTTTCGACTGATTAGACTGAGTCCTATTTTCTAACTTCAGATTTGTAGTTTATTAGGAAAGTAATCGGTTAAATGGTTGATTCACATGATGTTATACTGTTGCATGATACTTAAAAAATAATTTTCTGATTTTACCGACAAACAAAATAAATACTGTCTCTGATTAGAAAAGTTTGTGACAAAACCTTAAGTATTCTCCATTGACAAATTACCTGATCACCACAACAAGAATTTGAATTGAAAATCTAGTATATTATTAGATAGGCTGCATCAAAGTAATACGACAAAAGAGTTAGAGATGTAGCTGGGAGGTTACCGTAGGGTCTTTCATTACTTCATGGTACACTAACTTGGTACCATTCAAACACGTAAATCAGGTACATAAAAGATTAAAAATAAATGTAGGAAAATCTGGACGAAGGAGCGCAACTGTCAGTGCATACAATCTTTTTCTTATGGGGTTTAAGTTAAACGGAGCTCAAAAAAGCCAATCCTAGCGAATTGTACTAAAAATAAGAAAAAAAGAAAACTAAACAAAACATTTACGGTACCAAACAGTAATACTGTTGACTTCACCTGCACAAATGTCCGGTACTTAACAATCGAGCAGATCATTTGAAGGATTGGATCAGGAACCCGATGGTTACAGTGTGCGATCGGAATTTTCCAACATTTCCACTAGAAAAACGTCTACTTGAGAGTCACCGATTAGCTTATAGAAAAATAGGTATTCTGAGCACTTGAGCCCTATGGATCGTAAGGATGGAAGCCTTAGGAGAAGTTTTGCAAACCTTCCTGGTTCCTCTGGATGCGTCGTTCTGCAGTATTCCTCTAGTATGGTGAAGACCTTTTCGCGGAGCAAGCCTACTTCTTGTACTGATTTCAAACCTTTGGTATCTGTTAAAAATAAAATAGAAAAAGCAAGTTGAAAAAATTTAATCTGCGATACGATGAAAAAACAGAAAGAACAAAAACAAAACAGTAAAACAAAAAAAAAACAGTCCAACATTAAAATTTTTATAATCCCTTGGTTATTCATATGGACGGTGAAAATCGCAAACCATGTAACTCCTTTGCCGATAGGACGTCCGTTTGCATTAAGATCTCCGCATCCATTTTGATTTTTTGAAGGAGAACAAATCAACATCATTCTTTAAAGTTTTCTCTGAAATTTCCTTGCACAGAAAAGAAACATTATGGAAGTTTTAAACAATTGACATTGGGTAATTTCCCATTTAAGAAATAAAGTATGACAGGAAGCCAGCAACATTGCAAACCGAGTTCCTTGGTTTTGCCAATCAATATGGAACAGAGACAAGTTTTTGGGAAATAAACTACATGCATCTGTGGCCTGATTATTGAAAATCTTTGTTCGTAGACAGAAAAAGACAAGATTAAGGAAGAATGGAGTTATGTGATTGGTTGGCTCTGTCCATTTGATGATTGCCAGCCCTTTGTCGGACCGAATAATTGACTGCTTGTCAGTCTCCTTAGACTTGCCCTGTCCAGTCAACATACGAAAAATGTTGACGATCATTTAAACGACTAGTTGGTCCAGTCCTGTCAAATTTACATCAAAGAACTATACTACAGTGTTATTAACATGTAGCTTCACCCCAGATATTGGTACCAAAGACTACCTTAACCAGTCCAAACTTAGACTATAGGATTCTAGACGACTTTTCACATCCAAGACCATAAATTTGAATTTTTTCCACCCCAGTTGACAAAATTTGATTTTATATCCGGAGGTCTCTACTCAAGGTGTCCGCACAAATCCAAAGAAAAAAATATGGCACTAATATAAGATAATGGATGACAATTTTTTGAAAAAAAAAGTAGGACTGCTTAGTTAATAAAAACTCTCGGTACCCCATTAATAGATAGCTTACGAAGAAAACAGCCTACCATTGTAAAAATACTGATTGGAAGTAAAGATTTAAAAAAATGAAAAAAACAATCTATTCTTAAAAGCAATCTTGCATATTGGCATAAGTTGGCCGCACGATCAAGAATTTTGACCAAGTCATAGAATGATGAAACAAAAATATGGCAATTTCGTAAGACCTTTAAGTAATTATGATGCCAAAATGAAAATATGGTAATACAATAAGACTTTATATGATTATATGACCTGTAAACACCCTGCTACTCTTCTATAGAGTCACAAATTTTCATCAAATACAGATGAGACATACCAGGATTGAAAAGGATTATGGTGCGCAAACAGCCGAGTTCAGTCTTATCCATTTTCATATCTTTCATCTTGGTAACCAGCTCCGTTAGGACTCTGTCAAAGATATTGCCCATGCCTGCTTGATGAGCTGAATTTCGATGTATAGTTAGGCCTGTAGTTAACACAATACCGTCTCGAGCATCTATCGACCGGTGGGAGAAAGACGCTATCAGCAACTCGTTCCAGCCTGAAAAGAGAGGAAAAAGAATTAACGATTGATTAAATATTGGTTTGTAAATTGTAACCTAAGTTGTAAGGGAGAGGAAAGTTTCCAAAATATGAAATTTAAAAATGGTATCAGTACTCCCGCTGATTAAATCTGGGATCCAGTTGTGCTAATTTAGCAGGTGATGTATAATGTCCTGCTATGGAAAAACCCTGTACCAACATTCAAGAATTGCCAAATTTCTTTTTATGAAAACTTTATTTTGATGAGCTAAATGAGTATTTTCTCTGGAAATTTCTAAATAACTTAGATCTAACTGCGAATTAAATCCTCTGAAAAATTGGGAGAAAATATTTGCAAATTTACCTAAAAATTTGCATTTTAACAAAGGAAATTGGGCAATGTCTAAAGGTTCATACACAGTTTTTCCTTAGCGCGGTAGTAGAGTATTAAGGGCATGAGGCGAATCTTAGGATTTGAGGCAAGATCATAACCTAAAAAGTAAATAACGAAAAATAGAGCTTTCAATGATATAAAATGGCATTCTACTACTTGCAGCACTAGGGCAAGGGTGCAGATCTAGACCACACTCCTGCAGGTGACTATCAGTTGCATGCAAAACTGGGAAGGTCCCCGAACAGGTTTGCAAAATGGGAAAGACCCAAGAAAGGGTCTTACAAATGGGAAACCAGCTCAAGTCAACAAGAAAATTGCACAGTTTTTTCGCAGATTGCAGCACTTAAGGAGTAAAGAGGCTGATAAAAACATTTGAGAGGTGCGTACCTGCTCTTAAAAGGCAAACTTGATCTTCTAGCGGTAGCGAAGTGAAATGAGGAATGTGTTTAGCCCACTCAACGAGCTGGATCATCTGTTTCTCCGCTGCCTTGACCAGACTATTTGTGTTCTGGAACAAAAGAAAGATGGTACTGTCAAAATTTGTGTCAATGATATTGCTCCTGAAATAATTAAATTCAATTTGGTAGAGATCAAGTCTTACAGGTTGGAGACTTGATTTTGTCGGTTTTAATGTACGTTACAATCGATAATTTTTGAGGTAGGCTGCCCAGCCTAATATCAATACTTGAGATGGATTTAAAAAGAAAAAAAACAATGTTACCAGCTTCCAAAAATTTCCTTTGAAGTAGGCTGGGATATGTTCACTTTCACCCAGTAAAATGATAACTTAATCCGCGGAAAGTACTAAAGATCAAAATGCAAAAATACTTGGACGTTAAAAGTTAGTTACAACACTTACAACCTCATTTTCAACCAGAAAAGAGAAACGAAAAATGAGTCCTTGATTTGCTGCTTTTGCAACGCCATGACTCTTGCAATAACAACAAATCGACAATTCACTTATACTTTCTTTTTCTGGTTGAAAATTAAGTTATCACTGACGCAAAACATCGTAGATTTTCTGTATTTGATCTTTTGTATTTTGAAGCAGCCTTTCCCCAGATTCAGTTGTTATTTAAATGGGTTTTCTTTGGCTACGTAATTTGTTCTTCACTCATACTTTAACCCCTGACTGATAAGTGAAAACTGGGATATTAAAATAAAATATTGATGATAAAAATTGACTTTTTTTGATCAAAGTTTCGAAAGAATTTTGCAAATAACTGCATACTTTTGCTAGACTTTTTTATAACAATTGGCGAACGTTGCTGAGTTGGCCATTACAAAAAGTAAAGGAGTAGTATTGAATGATTATTAAAAATTCTAGAGGTGTGTTTGCCTCTTGCCATATTTTTAGTAAAATTAATCAACAAAAAGTTTAAGAAAATAAGTTGCTTCACTGCAGACTTTGCAAGGAGACTGCACTGCAAACGATGATTAAAATACACCTGTACCTGGTCCAAATTGCACTCGACCCGCCTCTCTGCTTCTAGTATCCGATCGATTGCCAGATCTGAATGATTGCTGCTGGTTGATTCGACTTCATTTTGGTTTTCCTTCGTCCTCTGTCTCTCTTCCTAAAAAATCGAGTCACATAAATTTTAGAACCATACAACTCGGTGAATGAAAGTAGAGCCACTTGAAAAACCAACACTGAAATCTAAGTTTGATTAGGCAAAATTCGTGAGACACCTGATCTATTTTCGATCCACCAAGGAGATATCATAAAGTATTAAAAGTTAACTAAATAATTACGTCTTATAATTTTATTCAAATTTTTTAAAGAAAAAGACGCTCTTTGATATCATTACTTTTAAGTAGGAGTCTCAGGAATTTTCAATAGAAAGGGGGATTAATTTAACATATAAGATTATCTACTAGTATAATTAAGGGACAAAGGGACAGTACCAGTAACATTTCTTTTCCTGTTCCTTATTTTTACATTTGGATTCTTATAAAGAATATTGTCGACAGACTCATCTTTGGAGATGGATGGAAATTTAATACGAGGAAAACGACATTTCTTATTTGAAGACCTCTTTGATCAAACAGAGTAAACCCATGTTAACGAGTAACAGGATGGTAGAATTATGCTCCTGTGGGAAAATCAAAGCCAAAAAACCCAACAATTTGACTTTGATTTTCATGCAGAATAGTGTTGACCCAGCAATATTCTACCGTGCGTTACTTACAGTATTCTGGCCATATTTTTAGATGTTTTCCTCATGTCTTTGTCAACATAGCTATGATTCTAAAACTCTTCCTCATTTTTGCAAGCATCAGAGGACACTTGCACTGTATGGTTATTTTCCAACTATTCATTACAATACGGAGAAAATTTGAAACACATGGCAGAATAGAGCGTACAGTTCCCTTCAAACTAAATATCTAAGAATATGCACAATCTTAGTGGCACAAATATGAGTTTACGCTGTTTGATTGGAAAGGTCTTCATTCATGGATAAACCAAGGGCTAACAATTGAGCATGGACATGTTTGTGGTGAAACTTTTGTAGGCTCTGTGATGAGGAAAAAGAAAAAGAAATGTAAGTTAAAGTACCTGAACGGCTTCTCTTTTCATTCCCATAGACAAACATTTCTTGTAACGACAATATTGACATCGATTCCTTTGCCTCTTATCAATCAGACAGTTCTTTTCTTCACGGCAAGCATAAGACAAGTCTTTCCGAACTGTCCTCTTGAAAAATCCTTTACATCCTTCACAACTGCAATTAACAAAATACATCGATAAAACTACTGAACATGACCCGGACAGCACATTTTAGGAGCAACTTAACTTCTTCCTATTTTTGCTGCGGCACAATGATAAACGTGGTAAAAAAACTCACTTCAAGGAATAATGAAAATCAAGTTCCTTGACACGGTTTCATAAACAGACCCATGAATCAAAAATATTAAAGCCACCAAGGTTGAATTTAAAAAAGTAAAATTTTGATTGTGACAGAAAACAACACTCATAAGCACACCCACAATTTTTTCTGTCACCACCAGATCCTTAAATGACAGATAATTCTTTGAGGGAAAAGGTGTCACAGCTAATTCAGCTTTTCAACACCTCAACCATCTAGACTCATTGTCAGTAGGTTTGTTCCAGAACTTAAAGCGGCTTTGAAAATGTCGATTTTGCGAATTTCCGGATGTTCATTGGCTTAAAAATCACAAGCCCCTGGAAGAATTGATGGTCGTTTCCTTCGACCAGAGGTAACTTTACCACAACTTTCACTTTTAAGAAGTTAAAGGCTATGTCCATCATTCCTTGCTCATCGATGAGGACTTACCTTTAGAAAAAATAATGAAAATTGATTCTTGATTTCATCGGTCACCAAAAAACAGGACTGAGAGCTTAAGAAACCTCGCACAGTTCTAGTTGAATGAAATAGACTGAGGTACGACTGCAGGGCTTTGGCGGGTAATCCTGCAAATTGGCATCAGTTTTCCTCAATATGAACCTATGAAAATGAATCGATTCTATGAGGGGCCAGGTGCTCCGACAAAAAATCGATTATTTAGCATAGGTTTAAATGGAGGGAATCCGGTGTTGCCAAATTGCTGGATCCGCCTCTGCTGCAGGGACAATAAATGGGAAGGGATAAAAATAACCAACCTGTAGACTCCGTAGTGTTTGCCACTTGCTCGATCTCCACATATTGAACACAGGTGTTTGGAGCCACTGAGTGGATGGTTTGGTGGAAGAGGAGATGTTATGGAGTTATTTTTTGACCCACCGCCCGCAGACCCAACAATCAGACTACTATGAGCCATTCCAAAAGAGCTGAAAAACAATATACCACAAAGATGTAGGCGACAAATCAACTAAAAACACCAAAAAGACAGAAAATAAAGGTTTAAAGGTGAAAAATACAAAATATGAGCTCCGTGTTGAAGCTACGTGATAAACTTTGTAAGAGAGGTTTGTCCAGATCAGATGTTTCTTCGTGTGTTGCAGAATTCACACTGTCGGACCAGTTGGACAATTGTTGAAATTCATAGACAAAGCTATGGACAAAGCTATAGACAAAGAAGACATAAGGAGTATGGAGCGATCCTATTGGTTGAAATTGGTATTTTTTGTAGACTAAGGGGGTAAATGATGAACTAACTACACGATCTCTTGTAGGTTGCCGTTAGTTAGTCTATTACCTACCTCCTTTGTCCATTGTAACCACCCGCTTCCACCAATAGGATCCCTCCATATCCCTTTTGTCTTCTTAGTCTATGGCTTTGCCTATCAATTTCAACTATCATCCCGACGGCACTGGTAGACGGCTAACAATCATATGAGGCTAGACAATACAGGAACAGCCACAGCATTGGATACTTGGACGATTCCTCGTCTACGAGAATGGTTAAGTTTGCCTATCTCAGTGTTTGAAGGCACTTTTTCTGATCGAGCTATAATCGCAATTTCGAAATGAAAGTTTCAGCATTGAATTCGACACCATACTCGGTTTCCTGCCAACAGCCAGAACCACAATATTTTACCATTATCTTCCAAATTTTGACGTTTCATTCGCTTTCTACTCACTGTTGGTTTGAAAATGATGCCCTGTTTCTGTCTCGAGTGAAATTTAACGATATGACTTTCGAAGAAGATCCTTACGAGGGATCATAATGATTTGCCTCTAAGAGAAATTAAAAAGACCAAATAATTTTGCTCTCGAAGTAATGGAATTTTCTTTGTATTTGTAATTTTGCCCAGTAATGAACGTTGCTATCCCTTTCAAGGATTAATTTCCGAAGTTATACAGTTGAATTTTACTCGAATTTTTTTTTTAAATTGATCATTTCCAGGGCGATGTGAAGAATCTCTTTAAACCTTCGTGACCACAATATAAACTTTATCGGTGCGAAACAGTTGCAAACTTCCTGCCATTCTTCATCCCCCCCCCCTTTTGGCGGAAAACTAGTCCATGTAATTTCTTGAAAATTTCCTTGATTTTTCTTTTCTGTTGGATGAATGTTCCGTAGAACTTTCAAGCTCAAAAGTTGGCTCGTCTCTCTTTTAAAAAATAAAAAAGGAGCGGACATTATGAATATCGCAATTGGGATGGGTGGTTCTGCACTTTGGCCATCGATATGGAGGTTTAAGAAACAACAATGAATACGGCCCTAAGCTACCAATAAATTGCACGGCGTCTAGCAGAAAGGACCTAAGTCACATCAACTTCGAGTTAGGTTAGGTTAAACACGTATTTTTGGCGATATTCATGCATATTTCGTCACCTTCCAGGCAAAGTATCACAAGCGCCATGCGACGTTTAAAAATTTCCGCCGCCATTTTATTTCTTTACTGAGAAATTGTTGGTTGAATCTGTTTGGACATTTCACTAAATTTTATCGGCAGCACAAAGAAAATTCAGTGAAATTTTCGGACAGATTCGTTGAACAATTTCTCTGTAAAAAAATAAAATGGCGGCGGAAATTTTTAAACGTCGCATGGCGCTTGTGATACTTTGCCTGGAAGGTGACGATTTGTCCTTGAAATTTTCAGATATTTTAGATTAAATTGCGCACAAAATTGTCCAAAAATTGTGGAAAATTACATTCGCAATTTTCCCGGTAAATTCGGTTTTTATCGGAGGAAACTTGGCAACGCCTGGAGGCTCATACGGCGTTCTTCCTCACCGCGACAGAACTGCCCTTCGTGCAAATATGTATAGGTTTGCGGGAGATTTATCGATTACCATTAAAAATGTAGGTGTCACGGACAAATTGCGCTAGTCGCAAGGGAGATATTTGTTGGGTGCATGCGTAATGACTCACTTGGGGCTATTTGGACCACCGCCAGGACTGAACTGGCCCCCTAGGAGGCTGGCTGTGTCTGGCTTCATGTCTAGAGGCGACTGTGGACCCACCGAGTTGAGTGATATGTTGTTCTCCAAACTTAGTCCTGCAACAGAAAAACAGACCCACGTTTTTAAAATTCAAAACGATAAAACGATAAAACGATAGAACGATACACGAACACTGACCAAAAAAGAAACAGACTTACATGTTTTTCTTGATAAATTCACTTCAAAAAATGAACGTCATTAGGAAATAAGCAACTAGAAACTTTGACACATCATTAAAAGCACCGATCTGCATAGAGGAAATAATGACATTTACGTTGTTTCTAAGAAATAAGCCAAAAATTGAGGCTTTGGGTGCAGAAAAAGCATATCTTGGTTGCGGTGTCACAGATTTATTTTTATTTCGGAGAGGAAATTAATGCGTGAATTTTCTGAACTTTTACGTTTTCAGCATACTGTAGGATCATAAAGTTACAACAGTACGAAGTAAAACAATGAAAGTTACAACAAATTACATAAATTTGCTTTAATCATAATGGATGAAACGTTACAGGAGATTTTGAGCCACTGCAACCAAAGAATGTCCTTTCTGCAGTTCTGCACTCAGTGCTTCAATTGTACCTAGTTCCTTGTAGCAAAATTTAGTACAAATTATACAATCCCGCGGTGCGTATTGCGTATTTGCGTCCAATAAGTGTGTCATTTATATGTTCTTCAACAGAAGTAAGTGCTTATATTGTTAAGCCCAACTTGAATAGAAGGAAAAAGAAGATGTCGGATGCCTGTGGCAATCCAAGAATGCCACGGAAAATTTCCTGCGAAAATGAAATTTTCTGCGAGATCCCTGACTTCCCTGACAAATTTTGGAGACATTTTTTGACATTTGAGGATACGCAGATTGGTTAAAAAGACACAATGTATTTTCATGATATCTGTTGTTCGCAACATTCACATTTTAAAAAGCACAAAAAGGTAAATAAGCAAAATTTCCCATGCACTGTCGTCATTTTCCCTGAGAAGTCTCGGTTCCCCCTGCCGTTAAAAATTACCTGACGTTTCTCGGGTTTCCTGCCGGTTCTCCCGAAATGCAACGACTCTACGTGTGTTATGTCCTATATTATTCATTGAAAAACTGCAACACATGACGATGACCGTTTTAATTTTGAATTAAATCAAATTAAATTTAAATTTCGCGTGGAGACGTAAAAACCTAAATGGATCATCTGTATCAAACTATGTCTATGCCGTCGTTTACTCCTTACACTTCAAAAACGCGCAAAATTCTTATTATGATCTCGTGGGGTTTGGAGCGAATTTCAGATTTTCCCGAATTTTGAGTCACTTTCAATGGCGAAACAACTCTTCTTTCAAAATTTTGAAATATTTAAAAACTCACGCTTTCACTTTGAGATTAAAGCGGGAGTTCTGAAATATTTCAAAGTTTTAATACAACAGCTTTTACTGTTTTGTGAAAAATTCGATCGTCTTCTTTAAAAAAACTCTTCTTTGGATATGCTAAAAAAGCACAGCAGCCCTATTCTCCATGCGTTGGCAACATCGGTTGCAGTCTGATCAATTTGGCTCGATGAGCATGTTTCCCGTCTGGATATTTTTATCACCTGCGTAAACAGCTTCGTCCTTTTTTCATCTGGCAGTCTCAAGTCGCGACGAGACGATCCCCAAAAACTAACCCGGGACCCACCCCCGAGCTTAGGACGTCCCTATATAGTTTTATCTTATCACGACGAGATTTTTCACCAAGTAGACATCCTCCCTCGAAAATCGTACTTTCGCGAGAAAAAATTGATTTTCCAGGAAGTTAGTAGGTACGTGATGGGGGAAACACAGTTATTTTTTTTAAATGCAGTATCCAAAAACACATTGATCACGCTCAGGGTGGCAACATTTCATGAAAAATAAAATCTCGAAATTTCACGTGAAATAATTCATGAAATTTCAGAAATTTATGAGAGATATTGAAAAATACCCGTTCCTTTTCATAACTCGCAAAATGTAGACATTGTGACTTTCTTCAATTTTTGTGTGTTTATGTGAGGGTTGCATACTCTGGCCCCGAAAAAATATGAAATATTTCACTGAAATTTCCAATCTTTCATTCCTTTCTTACGTTTCATGCCACCATGATCACGTTCAAGCGGTCACCTTCGAAAACTGCCAAACTCGGAAAAAATTAAATTCTAATCAACGGGGTTTGGTGGAGATAAAAGATGTCGTTTTTGCTTTCATGGCCTATTAGCCTTCTGGCTGAAATTGCAAACGATGGAGGGCAACATAATAACACATGGTTGCTGCAAGATGGGACGTTTCGTGTAGCACTGATCTCTCGGTCAAGCGGCAATGACGTCATTGACGTCGTGCTTAAGACATGCAAACCTAAAGAGGAACTTATTAATTTTGACACTTGCTCGCTGTTCAAAATTAGAACTGATGGATTCACACGAAGGTGCGAGGAAAATTACACTTTTCCCATTTTGACGTAGGGAAATCAAGACCGATTGCAATCCTCTTCCATGTCTCATGAAGAATTCTGAACGGCGATTTTCCCGATTATCCGATTAGAGATCTTACAAGTGCCGTAGAAAAAAATTAAAAGTAGACGAAAGAAGAGAGAACTTTAAGCTTTTCCAACGGTAAAATTGCCACACTTACCCATTACTTTTTAAGGTTCCAAGCGCAAAATTGTCTGGCTTTCCAGGTTTTCAATTACTTTCAGGATTTTGGTAATTTCTACATTTTCCGGGCATTCTCTCACGCCAAAATTTAAGCATTCCCCGACTATTTCAATTTTCCGACCTTCGGGCAAAATTTTTATCTTTACTTAAAACCTTTCAAATCATGATGACTTCTGCTGAACGCAGCTCGCGAAATTCTCAAGGGTTTGCCTAATTTTCCCAGGTTGCCTTAAATTACCCGACTTTCCAAGTTTTCCGGACTGCCGGAAACCCTGGTGGACTAGTCTTCCACAGCACTGAAGTTTAGGGATGGCGATTTTGAATCGATTTTAAGCGCCGAAAAATCGATTTGATGGGATCGATTCCTCGAGGTCGATTAAAAATCGGAATCGATTTATAGGGCCGCAATCAAATTATTTGAAAAAAAAAAAAAAAAAAAAAAAAAAAAAAAAAAAAAAAACTCGAAATTTCCTACGTTAATGTGTCACATAAGGCGAAGGATCTGTGAACCCCAAGTTTCGTTTTCAGTTCAGTTTCAGTCGTTGGTTTTAGCAGTGGTTATACTGGGGGAAAAAACACATTGTATCTAGAGTCCAGACTCTTGAAAACATTGACAAGAAAAAGAACTCTTGATTCAATCGGATTTTTGTTTAGATCAAGAACCAAGCCTCTTAATTTGAGCGGATTTCCTTTTGATTTAAGTTTAAATCTGATGGAATCAAGAGTCGTTTTTCTTGTCAATGTTTTCAAGAGTCTGGGCTCTAGATCCAATGTGTTTTTTTCCTGTGTACGTTTTTGGCGCCGAACTTGGATCTTTACGTGTTTCAAAATAATTTCTGAAAAAGTCAATTTTTTCTGATACCAATTTTTTTCATCAGATTTTAAAATCGAATGGATTTTTTTTTACCGAAGATCAAATCGATTCCCCGAAATTTTCCAGAAATCGATTTATTCGAAAAAATCGTCATCCCTGCAGTGAAGTTGGCAGAGCCGGGCGGCAACTTAGGAACGGCGGACGCATGCGCGGGTGCTCGTAGTTAACACGGCAGAACGTTGCCAGATCGCCACTCGACACCCGACGCCCCCCGCCCCAACGCGGCGGACCCGGCACTGCGGGCGGGTCGGCGACGCCGCGGCGCAGCTGAGGTCGAGGTCGCGGGCGGCGCGGCGCGGCGCCGCCAACGCTCAAGGTCATACTTCCGCGTCATCGTCGTCGGTCGGAGTCGCAGTCACAGTCGACGGCACATCAGCGTCTCTCGATCTCCGTGCTCGCTCCGCCTCCCGCGGGATCCCACGCTCTCGAGGACCGGGACACCGCCTCAACGCCCGACCCAGGTCCGGGATCGCTCTATCCTTCGGGCCGCTGCGGCCCGAAGTCGCCGGCGAAATGCACAGGAGACCGCGGCGGTGGCTTCCGCGATTTCTGCGGGCGAGGCGATACTCGCATTCGTCTCCTGGAAGGTCCACCAGGGTGTCTACTAAAACAGGCTGGTCAAAGATAAGTACTTATACAGTACTTTTTCGGTACATTCTCAAGAAATTGCGACAAAAATGACGAAAAATTGAAAAAAATTCCGGAACTTTATGCGGAATTTCTGCACTTTTTCAGTACTTCCGGACCGCCCTTAAAGAATCAGTACTATTTCCGGACTTTCTGGAAATTCCGGACTTGTAGACACCCTGTTCTACCTACCCCCGTGAGCGGGATGTTTCAGATAAAAACGAGGCACTTGAAAATTTTGAGTTACCGGAGGGGGGGGGGGTTTTCCAAGTGAGAAAAGGCTTATAAGAATTCCCTCTCATCACAAGTTGTAAAGTTTTGGGAGACTCTGACGTGTTCTTGAGATGATCAAAGTGATTTGTCGTTTTCTGAAACACCCTGTCTAAGTATAATTAATGTGAAATACAGAGAAAGCGTGACCCATGACGCTCCCTGGAGGAGGAGGAGGTCCCCTCGAGTGAAAATAGGCTTTAAAGATGTCCCTCTTATCACAAGTTGTAGTGTTTTTGGAAACGCAGACGCTTTCTCGCGACATTGAAAGTGGCTCGTTTGGTTCTGAAACACTCTATATAAATAACGTGAAATATATAGGAAACGTGACACTTAAAGTAAACATCCAATTTTGGACGTTAGAGACAAAAAGAAAAGAAACAAGTTCTGTCCAGTATCGATTTTGTGTTATTGGCGGCTTACACAATGAATCGTCAAAATTTGACGATTTGACGAGCGGCAACGTTATAATGCATTTAAATAATCAGTGCATTTATCGGCAAATTAAAAATGCTGCGATTGAGTCAGTAATAGTTTCCTTCAGTAACATAATCAGAAACGCTGAGGTGTGAGAGGAACAGACAAGAAGTCCGGAGTTAGTATCGCATGCGACGAGTACTCGATGAATTTTATT